ATGGGGTGTTCCTTCTGAAGGATGATGCATATGACTGGTGGCTAACAATTCCCGGAGTGCAGGAAGACACTATCATGCACTCCTGGGATGTGTTTCTGCATCATTTCCGAGCTCAGTATATTTCGGATGTATATTGTGCCCAGAAGAAAGTAGAGTTTCTAACTCTGAAACAACAGGAAGGGCAGACGGTGAGTGAGTATGAGGCTCAGTTTCATCGCCTACTCACATTTGCGAGGGATTTGATCCCAACTGAGCCGGATAAATGTGCACGGTTTGAAGGTGGTTTGAGAGGAGATATCAAGTCTAGGATAGCCATCTCTGACATGGTTAATTACGGATGGCTGAAGGCAGCCGCAATCCGGGCGGAGGCTAATATAAATGAGGAAAAGGCCCGAGAGAGGAAAATCCAGGTGTATGAGCCAAGAAAGAAGAAATGGAAAGGAATGTCCTCAACTAGTACGGAGCAGGCGTCCAGCGGAAACTTTAGCAGGGAAAGCGCACCACAAAATCCCAGATGGAGCTCCCCAGCGGCAAGTCAGGGAGGGCATACTCAATTGGGTACTCCACGAGCTCCTGAGTGTCCTCATTGTGGGAAGAACCACTTTGGGGTCTGTCGTTTGGTTACCGGAGGATGTTTTCGGTGTGGTGACATGGGTCACTATGCTAGAGAGTGTACAATTCGAGGTGATTTTGCACCTGCTAGATCTCAGACCACTGTACAAGGACCAAGAACTGTGAGTAGTGCCCAGAGGGGAAACTTTAGAGGAGGAAATGGTAGAGGGCGAAGCCGAAGCACTGAAATGAGGGGCAATGGTAGTGGGCAAGCGACGAGAAGCGAGATGCTACCTCGTGTCTTTGCCATGAGGGGTGAAGTTGATGTGTCCCCTGAAGTTGTCACGGGTATGATCCTTTTTCCATAATACCTTAGCTCCCGTTTTAGATGATCTGGGCTACACTACTCATTTATGTCACGTGCCTTTTCTCAAATTGGTATAAAGAACCTGAATCCCTTATAATAATAATTAAAAAAAAAAACCCTATAAGAGATACAATTGAAATAGTTCTGTGACAATATCTGGAATATAATTACCTACTAACCCTACGTATTAAATTTTTGGAAAATCGAGAAAATTAGAGAGTTTAAGTTTGAATTTTGTAGGCTCAATACCCCTACTTCTTTCCAAGGTAAATTTCGAGACGAAATTTTATTTAGAGGGGAGGAATTGTAACATCCTTTCATTTTCTAGTTTATGAATGCATACATTTCGTGCATGGGAGTTCAAATGTGGGTAATACGTTAAAATAAATGTAGTATCTATTAGCGTTATCCATCTAAACTAGAAATATCCCCATTACAAGAATTTAGAACTGTTAGCCGTGGTGTGCATTTTATTAACTCAAACATGATCATGGAAATCCAATCCCAATAGACAAAACTTTCTTTTGCCATATACCACCCTTATTTGTTTATTCATTGACTTCCTAAAGAAATAGATGAGAAATACACTCCCATGAACCGAGAGAGGGGACACAATTATTTTCCTTGTCCTTTTCTATTAAATTCTACTGGGAAGGCCTCAATTTCCAACCCATTTGTGTTTCCCAAACCTGGCGCATGTCTGGGAGGTGGCTGGGCTAGATTCATTGTAGGAAATGAATGTGTGGTGGGAGCAGTAGATATAGGATAACCATTCTTCTTAAGTGGTTCTTTGTCTTTGAAAGTGCTGGAGGGAGAGAGAAACTCCTGATATATTTCCTCCTCTCCACCATCACCCTAGCTCTATTACGAGAAACCACCATCATAGTAGACACGAGAGTTGAAGCTAGATTTCAAGCAACGGAGTTGATTTGAGAGAACACTGAGGACATAATTAAGGTAAGCTCTTCTTTGCCTTAGTAATGTATCTAATAAACTTAGAGAGGAGAAGTAATTGGTTGGCGAGTGACGATGATAGCAGGGGTGCAGCTTTTGGGTCTTTGTCAAGTCCTGTTATGGTGGTGGTGATAATTAGTATCGGATGGAAGGCTTTGGTCCAGGATCAATCAAATGGCTTAAATATATATGTATAAAATTGTTCCTTAATGATATGATGGAAAGATAGTGTTTGAGTAGTTAGGGAAATAATTAATTTATTTCCTGGGCACATTACATATTAAGTCTAAAATATGGTTAGTGATTGCTGTTGGGGATCTAATTAAGTTCTCAAGGAGCTTGCATGCATGCCATATCTCATTTTGTCAAGTTATGTGCATGTATGGATTTGAGGGGAGGTTTCTGTCATTGGGTTCTAGAATGCATGATAGGGGTGTATATGAGTATTAGTACTCTCCTAATGAGAAGGGTTTAAGAGAGAGAGAGGGGTAAAATGAATTTAGCTAGATAATTAAGTTATCAAGGGTTAAAGTGTTTATAGTGGGTATGGGATAATTAGGCCCGGGTCTGCATGTGCTAAAGTGGTTCCAAAAAATATTGTGCATGAGGATATATATATATGTCTTTATGCATAGGTGATGATGGCAATGATTATTTATTTATGGGAAAGGTTTTGTGGTGGTGGTGTTTATCCTGGAAACGGAAGCAATTTGAGTAGGCTATGCGTGAGGTGGAAGTAGGTTATTTAAATAGAATGTTAGCGTCGGGTTTAGTAACATGTACGAGTAGAGTTCTAAATATAAATAAAACAGAAAACAAAACCATTACATTACATTGTTATTTTAAATTATACGATTAGTAGTTAATTGGTTGTCTACGGTTAATGAGTGATTGATATTGAATCAAATGTGGTTTTGTAACTTCTTAAAGGTGACAACGAGCAGGCCAGAGCTGCAAGGAAGGGCAAGGGTATAGCGGAATAGAAAATGTGTTGTGAGTAAACTCTAACCTATTAACCGTATGGATACAAATATGGTATTCGGGTCATGAAGCGGCCTGAATATAGAATATGAAATGTGGGTTAAATAGATGGCTATGACTATATGTGTGTGAATGAAATGATATGTGATGAATGATGGGTGAATGTGATGTTCGTATGACTATTTGATGATATGTGTGATGTGTATGTGATATGAAATTGCCTAAAAGGGATATATTACAATACAGAGAAGACTATGAGGCAGTGATGGAATAATGAATGGCCTGAATGACTATACGAGGATACTGGGATAGCCTAATTGGCTATCGTGTGATTACTGGAAAGCCTATAAGGTGGAAATGTGAGATTGAAGCCTATAAGGTGACGATGTGATTATATGAATGGTGAATGTGACTATATGAATGTTATGAATATGTGAATAGACACGTGTGAAATGATTGATGATACTGTTTGGTACTTGTTATGTGACTAACTAAAGAATTGTCTGATCACCTAAATCAAACTTAATGGCGCCATGTCATGCACTCTATGAGATTCGATAATGCGGCTTTATGCCTAGCTCTCTGGGAGAGCGATACCAGGCCTGGTCATTGGCGATGCTTAATGCATCTATTGGCGGTGCTTTATGCATCTATTGGCGGTGCTTAATGCATCTATTGGCGGTGCTTTATGCATCTATTGGCGGTGCTTAATGCATCTATTGGCGGTGCTTTATGCATCTACTGGATATACCCGGGAGAGTGCATGACTTGGCAATTTAAAGGCAAAAAGATACGTAATCTGGCTAACCCTATGTGTGTGTATGAATGGGTGTACTAGTGTGTGTGTGTGTGTGTGATTGACTATTGAATTGTGCATGGTTACATGTATGGTATACCCTGAGCAATGTAAATACTGAAATTGGTTATCTCGGGAAACTAAGAGAATTAAGCATAGGGTTTGACTTCACCAGATATTATATTTGCATTGATACTGTTGATAGGTTAGCTTTTACTCATTGAGGTGACGTCTCATCCCCGTCAAAAATTTTCCCCAGATTAGAAGTTTTGGACTAGAAGTCAAGAAAACTCGGCAAGGCTCAGTTCGGCATCAATGAGGTGGGATGGTGGACTCAGACTCCAACATGACTTGTTTATAGTATTTTGAGAGAAGATGGTCTTCTCTACTGTCATGTGTTTAGAAGTTTTAAATGTTTATGTAAATTATGGTTTGGTTTGTAAGCTAAACAAAATTGTGAAAGGTTTTAATCGGTACGATCATGTGAATGTTTTAAAGAATGCATGGGTGTTACACCAGGCACCGATTTTCTAAACCCCAACCCGATGTTTGATTTAATGAAAAACAAAAACTGACCGTTGAGATTGGCCGGACCTCATCTAAGTATATCTAACGGCTAGATCATCTGTTGTATACTATACGCCTGACGTACACCAGTCATTACTATATATATATAGTGACTACTTCGGTGCACTCACAAAAATGAGTGTGTTCAATGCACCCAACCCAAAAACTAGTCTTAAGGTGTCGGATTTTGAATTTTAATTTGTATCATTAGTGTAATATGATGATATAACATATGATAACAACTAATTAGCGGATTACCCTAAGCCCTAGACCTCCAATTTTTTGTTCTATCCCTAAAGCCCAAATTATAAACCCTAACCCTAAATCTCTAAACTCTAAATCCTTCAAATTAGAGTAAATCTTCAATGGTTTTTGTGCAAATTCATGTGCGTTACTGTTCATCACATCATAAGTGATGATTGACATCATTTTGACATAAATCACATGTTTAAAATGACGGTTATGAAGCGAGTGCACTGAACGCACTAAAAAGAGTGAATGCACCGAAAACGCCATCATATATATATCATAAATGTAAATTTCAATTGTAGTTATTTTCTACCACAAATGTAAAATTCCCCTACAAATTTGGGTATATAGCCTAGAAAACTGATTTAGCGGGTCAACAACATGAAAAGCCAAATGTCGTCCACTTTTAATCACGAATTTCGACAGCTATTTTTGTCCTCCACAACTTCATTTCCACACCCCCAAATATAGAGAAGCCAAAAGTAGGAAGTGGAGTCTTTTTATTGATTAATTAATCAATTAATTGCAAAGAGAGAGAGATTGAACTTTGAAGAGAGGCAAAAACCCACAAAGCCCCCTCCCCCCAAAAAAAATGGCGAATCAGAATTATGATCTTGCCGCCTATCTCACTTGCTTCCTTCTATTCCTCGGATTCGCTCATTGCAACGACGAACTCTCTTGTAAATCATTCCATAACCCTCGAAATTTCCCTTTTCTATTTACTCCTTTTTTGTTGTTGTTTGTTTGTTTGGTTGGTTACTGTGTGTTTTTACACTGGCATAAAATTTGACAGCTGAATCATCCGAGGCTAGCTCAGGGAAAGCAGGAGGTGGTCGAAACCTTCTCCAAGATTCATTCAGTGAAAGTTACAGGGGACCCTTGAAAGGCTATTCACGTGGGTATAGCTAAACTTTTTTTTTTACTTTTGTCTTTTGGAAGCTGCGATTGTTTATCTCGCGCAGATAATTACGATACATTTTTGTTATATTATGAGGTAATTTTCTGGATGGGAAATCTATAGTAACATTGTAATCTTTAAAAATGCATTCATTCATTCCGCTGCGTGCACGGTATACGTCATTATTTCATAATAATACATGCATTCATAAAAAATACACGCGATCAAAATTCTAACAATCTCGCGAATACACATGCGGCAGACCACCACACAGTTACATAACAAGTCTAACTTGCATGAATTTTTTGTAAGGCAGGACTTTTTTTGCATATCTGCACTGATATGTTAAAGCGCGCGATTTCTGACTGACTGCTGGTTGGTTGGTTGGTTTTGTGATTGCAGCGTGCAACATATCGTTCGACACGATGGACTACACGGTGTTCAGGAAAGGGTGCGGAGAGCTGAGGAACCCAGACGACCACGTGCCGCGGAAGACGTGCTGCGCGGCGTTCATACTGTTCGTGTGCCCCGTGAGGGAGTACATCAGCGACGAGCACTCGTTGTGCATGAGCGACATGGTGATGAACATCAAAATGCGGTGCGGGCTGGAGTCGACCTACTTCTACAACTTCTGCCAAGCGAGCGTCGAGAAGCGCATCGATTGCGAGCCGATCGACGAGATCCGCCGCCGGAACGGGAAGAGCCCGCTCTACGTTCCTCCTCCTGGCGCCGCACGCGGCGACCACGGCACGTTTCCGGACCCCGAACTCCTCAACGAGACAGCCCAGTCGCTGGCCTCGCCGCCGCCGCCGGAGCCGTAGGTCCCCCAAAAAAATCAAGCAGTAGCTAAACTACTTCATGCGTGTAATTTTGAATTTTACAATGGAGAACCGCGGTTCAATAGTGAAAGATATTTCGGACCGATAGCACATTTGGTTCGATTCTTTTTTTTCCCCAGTATTTATAATTTATGGAACCAAGAAACGCACCATATTGTTATATTCGAGTACTGTATCCGTCATGACCACGAAGGTACGCCCGACCGCGACCCACGTTGACTAAGTATGGGGCGGGTATGGGTAAAACGCTCAGTAAATTGTTTGACGGGTATGGAGCGGCAGCGGCGGGTATAATGGTTTTAGCCTTCTCACCCCATACTCATACCCGCGGCCCAACAAGAGCATTTATTCACGTATAAAAAAATACATTGATCAAATTGTAACCTATCGATGATAGTGAAAGTAACTCAACAAAATAATTCGGTCATTATTTTTTACATGGTTAATCATAGTCAATAATGAAAAAATATTTTGATGTTATTTTTTTTAATCCGGATATTAAAATTATTATTATTAATAATAAAAATAGATCTATTTCTACATAGTTAATCGTAATCAGTCATGACAAACATTTGTATGTGATTTATTTAATTTGAATGTAAAAAAATTATCTAATTTTATTATTTTCACTAATAAAAATAGATCATACACCAAATGTAAATAAAAAGTACAGTTAGCAACTTACGGGTCGTTTGGAAGTTGCGATAGTTTTGTTGAGATTGTCATTATGCATGTATTGTTTACAATGCATCGTTTTTTTGTTTTTTTAGCAGAAACAATACATGGATTATTTCTGTGATGTGACAGAAACTATCACTCATTTTGAGTGATTGTTATATCTCAACTTTTAGTTGTGATTGTTGAGATAGTTGAGTTGAGATTGTTTTGTCTCAGCTTTTAGCTGATGCGACATACACAATCACACATACCAAACGTTGTATTCTACAATGCATCAAATTCGACAATACATGTATAATATTATACATGCATTCTCAACAATACATCTATTTAACAATCGCAACTTCCAAACGACCCCTTAATTAAAATGAAACAACACTATCTTTATAGGAAAGAATGAAGCGTTGAGAAGTGGCCAAGTGGGTAAGAATAAAATGAAATAGGAAAGACTAACTATTGAAAAAATGACCATTGGTGATAATTGACGGTTGGAACTTTTAATTCCAGCACCCAACATGCAATATATAATATATAATATAAACAACAAAATAAAAGAGGAAATGAGACGAAAAAGGGAGGATCTAGTTAGTATTCTACTAGTTAATAATTATGCATAATCAAATTCCCAGTCACCACATCATCATCTCACGTCACTTATCGAAGTCTTTTTTTTTCTATAATATTAAACGAACGATTTTTCTCTTGTTTTAAGTTGGATTTTTTATCTGCATAGATAAATTAGATTAATTGTGCTCTTCAAAATGATATCCACTTTTGATATATTTTTGGAACAAAAAAATCGAGACATTTATTACCTGTCTATATACCATGGGGGTATTGTATTACTGAATTGAAACTATAGTCAGTTTAACGGTGATTCAACCGTATCATATCACTAAATATCACCTACCGATTTAAAGTCCAATATAAATTTTCTATGATCGGTGCTATTTTCGGTCTAAACTTGACTCTGCCCCGTTTGTAACAGATTTTGACAAAAAAATTAGCATATATATTAAGGTGTAAAGCGGGGTAACATGATCCACGATCTTCAAGTCAAGCAAGTCACCCAGGAAAAGAGTGTACGTAATGTGATATCAAAAGAGCCCTATGTTTTGGGCATATATATTTAGTACAATTTTCCAGGTGCGCATTGTTTGCAAAAATACACTCTTTTTACCACCAATAGCAGAAACCAATAATCCATGGGTGAAAGAGATAAGGGAAAGACCATGGCAGGACTCATCTCCATATTCAGCTCTATATAGACTTCATTATAACACCAACCCCGACACCCGGCATGCGTTTCCCATGGTGTTCCTCGGCAAATCCGAAAATCGCGTTCTTGTGATCGTCATACCAGTTGGAATCCGCCTTGGTGTTCGATGCAGTTCAGGAACTTACCTTCAGGGGACATGAACTGCCTCCTGACCTTTGCATGGCGTACGTTAGACCTTGCCTCGAACCTAGGCAACGCTGAAGGGTCATTGCCGAAACTGAAACTGGTGGGGGTTGGAAACAGTGAGATGGTCTCGTCGAGGAATTCGTTGGCAACATCTCCGTCTTCATCTATCTTGAGGCTCTTTGCATACCACCTCAGACCCTGCAACATGCAGAACCATCAGGAAAGAGATATCTAGGTCGTGATTGGCCAAGGTGGCACCAATTACAGAACTCTAAATGAAGGAATCAAGTGCAATGACAAAGAAAACCAATAGCTGCCGATATGGTTAATTCAAGAGATAATTCAGGAATGAGGATTGCCAACTAGAGCTTTGAATGTCAGGCTAATCAAGGACGGTATGCTCCAGGTGAATGTAGGAAGGAGAGGAAGTCCGGAGTATGATTGTACGTAAGTAGTTGACAACTGGAGAGACAGGGATTCCGAATTCCGAGGACATGATCACTCAGTTGAAAGATCTTCCCAAAGGCCAGAACTTTCCATCGTTCAGTTTCATCATAAGTTTTGGGTGCATCAAGAACCAGAAAGGCCTTAACTAGGAGGCAAGGTAAATTCCTGAGAAGATAATGGCAAGACTCAGTGCAAGAAGACACTAGTTCAGAATTCCTGTACAGATCTTCCTTTCTAGCACATAACTCTGTCAGATTAGGGGCATCCGTGTCTTTCCATCTAACAAAATACATCGGCAGCTCCTAATATTATGACATCAACAAGTCTGAGGGTTGACACAGGCCAAAAAGATCTGGCAGTTGTATCAACCAACATCAATAGAAAAGAATTTATTGCTCATGGCACAAAAGACTTCTGATAATTTGTTTTGTTATTAAAGTTTACTGCACATACAAATGAATACAAGGAAATGCCACCATAAAAGAAAAAAGAAACAACAAAAAGTCGCTGAGGTTCGGTATCATGATCAAGGAAGGTGTTTATGCAATAACAAAACCTCGACAATCATGACCTGATTCCTCTTCTAATATATGAGGGATATGTTTCCTACAGCGTAACCTCTACTCTATAAACACTTCAGGATGCATCCATCATCCATGATTGGTTATCCCTTTCCTACACATTGCTCATTAGCTCTAATACAAGAACCGTGACCACATCAAGTGACACAGTTGCTAGAAACAAGTAAGCATCACTCTCAGACGAAGTCGCTTCTACAGCAGACCACTGTTCTTCAACAAGCCGTCAGTTGTCGTTAGAATCTTGCATAATGTGTTGCCAACAGATTGACATTGGTAGAGGAATAAGGCTTCACAGTTCACACTCTCGGAACTGCTACAATCGTACACTATTGTTTTCCCTATCTTGTTCCTGCTCCCAAATTCTCCACAACCAACAGGAAACAAGTTAAATTTAACTCCTAATCATCAAACAGTAATTACCTTTCCATCCTAAGGATGCTTTCCTACTCAAGCAATAGTATTCCATCAGTTGTCATTTCTTTCAAAAATTGCAACACGAATCTGACATTTCAAGCGAGAAAATGAAAAAAAAAAAAAAAAAAACTTTACCGAAGTTTTCTCGCATTCACCCTCTTTTAAGGATTATGATCTCATACCATATATGCCTCAAACGAGTTACTACATTCGCCTATCTAAGACCATAAGCATGTTGAAGGTTTCATAATTACTCCTCACAATAAACTCCTATCTAGTGGATCCCATGATAACTAAGTATGATCTACAGAAGCCGCATCTGCATTCACAGCGCCATAATCCTTTTAGCACAATCCGAATTCTTTAAACTGACTGAAGATAAAACACCAACCCCAAGTTTCCAGTTCGATCGTAATTCGCTACACACTCAGAACCCTCCAGACCCAAAGCCAATAATTTCACAGCAAAGGAGTAACACGGAGGGGAAACTGACCTGGACGCCGCCATCACCAGCTTTGCAAGGGATGAGAATAGGGCCAGGCTGCTGCCGGTCAACGGCGACCTTGACAGGGACGCTGAACCCTTTGCGTGGAATCCCTGTTTCGCGGTAATCGGGGCGATGATGCTGCCGTGATTGATGATGAGGAGGAGGAGGAACGCATTGCTGCTCCGCTTCGTGGTCTCCTTCTTCTTGGTCTTCTCCGTGGTCGCCGCCTTCGTCTCTAACGAACCCGAGTATTCCCGCTATCCTTCTGAAGAATCGCATCGCATCTCCCCGATCGTCCAATCAACTTTTCCACCCACTGCTAACCCCAATCGGGGAGAAAAAAACGAATCCGCAGCCGGAATCTGAAGTTCGGGCTGCCGGAATTATGAGAGAAATGGAGTGGTGAAGAGTAATTGCGGCTGCGTAGAAAGGTGGGAAAATGGGAGATTTGCGATTTGTGCGGCGTTTCTCCAGAGCTCTGCGGTTTGTGGTTTTGCGTCTTTTGGGTTTTCCGCTCTAGATATTCTTTCTTTCGAGAGTTATACGAAGTTTGTGGATTTATATTTTGGGATAATAGCATTTTCTATCCCTTTTTATTTTATTATAAATTAATAAATGTATTTTTTAATTTTTTTCCCCCACAAACCTAACCTTTTATTACAAGTTTTGTATAGGATGTGGAGTGTCATTTGTTTGTACTTTTCATCTTTTCATTGCATACAATGCATACTTTGTGTCTTAGTATCTACATCATTCCCAATTTACTCAGGTAAATATGTCTTGTCTACTTATTACTTACTGTGAACTACATAATACAAACCTGGTGAGTTATTGGATTCTAGATATAGGGCCTCAATTTCTCGGACCATATTTTTTGTCATAAGAAATTTCAAAATACTTATGTTCATCTTCCTAATGGCGCTAGGACTCTTGTCATACATGTATGGACAATAAGATTTCCTTTCAGACTGTTCTTATATAATGTCCTTCTAGTACCTAGCTTTTCTTTCAATCTTGTCTTAATTAGTAAACTCACCCAAGATTTTATTTTAGCCTTACACTTTTACTCTAATTTATGGCTAATCCAAGACCTAATAAGCATGAGGATGATTCGTTTGGTAAAAAAAATTAGGGAC